TTTTTATAAAGTAAAAGGATATCTATTACAAATTTGCACATCGAAATGTGGAGCAACGATGTATTCATTTTTTAATAACCGACTCAACAATATCGAACAGCTGGGTAAACACAGGCTAATTGAGAAAACAATTTCTAAAGTCACACAGTAATAAAACGATTCTTTCTACAAAACTTTATCTAACGGTCACTTTCTAGCATCGTAAAAGGTGTGAATCGCGACTAAAGGAAATCGAGCATATTATAAATTAAACAGCTTTAAATAACATGAATTTAATTTTTAGTCCTAAGTTAGTTGAGGTCAAATTCTAAGCTTGAACTTGTTATAAAATAAAATTGTAATTGTAATTATTATAAACTGTTTAAGATCTGTAACCGTGGCGATTGTACAAGTAAGAATTGTTCAATGATGTTAGATGAGATTTGCCAACTGTGCAATCATTTCGGATATACTACTAAGCATCACAAAAAGAACGGGGCTTTTAAGTGTAAAATTTGTAACAAGTTCGTTCATAAAGCATCTGAATGACGTCCTAACGATATTAACTGAACGTTAATTTGTAGGAAGTGCAATCGTTGCGGACACATTGTGAACGTATGTCGAATTGAATATAAAGAATATTTCAGAAATATTTCAAACACACGAATGGGCATCTGAATTCTCGTGGAAATCAGATCCCTGAACCCGAAAATCCACTTTCAAACCAGACGAAGCCTCAAAAAATATGATATTTATGAAAAAAAACGGTGAATAATTTACTCTCGCTATTAACAGCGGTGTTTCCAGTATAGTAATCGAGTACTATAGCTCATAAAGGTAGGATTATCAATAACTTTCTATTGCTCTTGTGAAAAACCAAGTCTCGTTTTTTTTTTAACTAAGTCAAGTAAAGAAATATAAAAATACAACTCACCCTTAGAATTAAAGCTTAAATACCCGTACTAATGCAGACTTGACCGCTGGTGATGACCAAAAAGTAAGCCAACTTGATTCTGGAACCAACACCACAAGGTCGGACACTGGCACTCAAGTTCTAGTACGAACGCGTGATGTTACTCGTTCGAGTGATTGTAGAGAACTGACTATGTGTCGTGTTTGACCCACTCTCTGTACGGGTTTCGGCTACTTGCGCCTTACTTTCTTTTTTTGTTTTACTCAATAACTATTGAATTAAAAAATTAATAAACTTAAAATTATAAAAAGGTGCAAAGGTGTCTTAAAATGTTACACATGATTTGACTTGTGATTTATAATCAGTGAACAGTTGAAAAGTTAATTTTTTTATAAACGTTTATAAATTAACAAATTTTGTAAACAAAATATGGCATTTGAAACAAGTGTAAAGAATGGATCTGTATATTACTTGACTAATAATGGTTTAATACTTTTATCATATATTTGGTATTCTTTGGTATATGATAATTGTTCATAATTATGTAATAGCGTCGTTGCTAATAGTCAAACTAAATATAGGTATACAACAATGTACAAATTATTAACTATAAAGTTGAATATAAATTTGATCTATTAAATAGCTGTGATTCGAATTTGTTCAACATAAATTTAATATAATGTTTAACTGATAATAATGAGTAGCTCTGTCGAACGGCGAAAGAGACACGACAAATAATATTCTAGTTACTTTATTATTTAATTCAACGCTATGCGCATATTCAAACGATGATCTTGTTATTATTTAACGCTAGGATATTTTTGTAGTTTAAAACAATGTTTAATAAAGAAACATAATGTAATAGATAATCCAACCGTAACAGCTTATTGAATCGGCTGTTGCGATGGTTCTGGGTATCGCACCAGATCAAGTTTTGTACCGATCAATTTGGTTTAAAAACTATAATTTTACAAATAGTATACTGAGAAAGTATAATAATTTGTTTATAAGGTATAGCCGAAAAACACTGATGATTGGGAAGGAAGTAGAAGAATCTAGAAGACTCCTATGACGTCAGTCAATAAAAAGTCTGAATACATGGCTCGGAGTGAAAGGTGTGAAAAGCAATAAAACGCCCCGAAATAGATGTAACGGTCATTCGGTCATGTAAGTAACACGCTCGAATTACAAGATACAAACTATGCATAAGTAAAACAGTGACGAATATTTTTTTGAATCGACATATATTTATTTCAATGATTTCAACGATCCTCCTTGCAGACCGGATCGGTGTGTGCAGGCGCGTTAGGTCGGCGTGTGGCGTTGGCGGTTTGCCTTCGCGTAGGCTATACGTCGTAGGACGTTACAATTAATATGAAAACTATAGGTAAAAGAATAAAACATATGATGTATACATACTATGGTAACGTCAAGTAGTTATGGTGTTTACGTACGTACGGCTATGATTAGGCCTTATGAAATGGCGGTACTTATTTCAAAAATTTTGAAAAGACAAAAATAGATCCGTTCAAATATTAAGACATTACAACTATATTAAAAAACGAATGACTAATCTTAGAGGGAATTGAACGCCTAAATGAATAAATCAATTTTTTAGCTAATATATGAATTGCCTAATGATAACATTCGTATATATATATATTTTTTCATACAATCATTTCACATCATTTCACGAGGTAACTTGCTCGCATAAAACCGAATTATATTGTAGATTTTGAGAATACCTTAATACAATAGTCTTAATGTTCAGACAGCCACAAAATCATTCCCAATTGAAGAGAATAATCATCACTGCTGCTGCGCAATACGCGTTACAAAAAAAATGACCTACAATATTTCCAGTCATCTGAGATTTTTCATAGAAAAAAAATACGACGCTCCAGTTTTATGCAAAGATATTCCAATATCCATGTACGTTCGTATATGTAGCCAGCAAGCAAAGAAGTAAAAAGCTTTTCTGTCTCTTAAGAGCAATGAGCAAAATAGAGATATTTGGAGCTTTGACCTGAGGGTACAAATACGCTCGGGCTGCAAAAACGAAGAAGTCAAAGCTTGAATGCTTGTTCTTGAGGCTTTATAAGTCTACTATGCGATAAACTTGTTGTTTTTTACGCAAGAGTAAACATCATCGAATAAGCTAAAATAAGCCAAAAGAATCAAACGAATAATTCAAGGGGTTTCTTTGACGAAAAGTTCATTTGTAACGTGAGCGAAGAAATCCCTTTTCAGTGAGGTACATTGATTGAAAACGAAGAATGTTGTTACGTGTTAGAATTACAACATTTAATTGAATGAAGTTGCTGAAGTTACAGCAATATATATCCGCAATCCGGGCAAGTTATAGACTAACCAGCTTACACGTACTCAGTGATTCACGTTAATTTTGAAGTTTCCTGATCGAATTTGGAAACTTCGGTGAAATTTCGGACGTCCATTTGATTAAAAATAAAGTTGTTAACATCCAAATGTAAATTGTAGCACATATTGTTCATTAATTTTTTATCGATATTATGATCTTCCTGGGGACCTAGAATTTCAATTTTGCGGGAAATTTTCCGGCTTTAGAGAATCTTTGAAATTGGGTTTTTGAAATTTCGCAAATGTAAGTGAGGCACGATTTTCCGTGCAATTCGAGTGAAAAATGACACCAACGCACAACACTCCAACGAGTTCATTTTACATGGAGCCTGGAGGAAAGCAGCAACTTGCGTGTGTAAGAAAAAAATGATGGATTTGTATTAAATTTCCAGGGCGAAACGGCAACTCGACAGCGGCGGCGGCAAATCTCCGGCAGCGTTGAGTGCCAGTGAAAAGTTGCGCGCCAAGTATGCCATCGGTAAACAGTATCGTAGACTAGTGTACTTTGCCAGTTGTAAACTTGCGCGTTTCCAACGCACTCGGCAAGTTTTGCCGTATGCTGCGTATAAACAATGGCCTCCTGCACAGATGCCTCAAATCTTGTAAAGGTTAGCCTTATATTATGTGCATTGTATATTGCTGTAAAGAACATCAAAGTTGGTAGATGTACTGAAGAAATATACTTATTATTGTTCATTGATACATCAAAAGGCTTTACGTATACTTTGTATTTCATGTACGCAAAGTATGTAAGGATTCAAATGCTTGAGTACTCTTTACTACACAACACAAACACGCGTAATAAGCTTTTGACAATAATTTGCATTCTTGAAAAGGTTGAAAGGAAAAGGAATTCATTTTTATTAAAGATTCGTTAAGTTCAAAGAAGTTTTAATTTGTAAATACTCGTAAATAGTTTTCGATATAAATGTATTATTAATTAAGTACTTAATGTATGATTATTTTTTTAAATAATTTTTTTGAATTAATTTGTAATCTTTATCATCAGTTGGAATTAGCCTGATTTCGCATGAAGAATTGTGAAATGCTATCCAAAATCATTCAAAATTATCTCACCTCACATCGAAAAAATTGTCTTGGCTTTTTTGTGACAATTCGTTCAGAACTTTTGGAGGCATGGGTTTAAGTGAAATTTATCGAAAGCTAATTTTGTACCGTCTGAATTGCAAGCCATTTTGAAAATTCTTTCAGTGAAAAACTAAATAAAAAATGAAAAATTTTCATATAACCAAACGTCTTTTAAAAATTTAGAACATTATTTTTCACACTGTTCCGTTTATTTTTAAGCGATTGTATTAAAACAAATTGCCAAGAAACGTGAATAAAACTATGAAAAATTCTCATTAATAACGAAGGGACCTTTAAGACGGTTTAGAACAGCTCCAGAATATTAAATTTACACATATTAATTCATCAATATTATTACTTAATAAATTAATTTAATAGCTTCAGAGTGCGTTACGCACGTGCACAGATTTCCATGTTGTATTTTATAATAATTTATATATTGTTCGCAAATTTCGCTTTATTATCGCATCTTTATATGTGTTCACTAATTTTTTATTATTAAAAATAATCAGAGATTAGCTCTTTTAACAGTGAATAAATTCAAATTTCGCGCGTTTTCAAGAAGAATCGAGACAAGCAGTTTGTGTATGCGCAGCCTGTAGCCACATAGACACAGCCCACTTTTGTATGTACAATTACACCACACCCACACGTGCTCGCTCGTCCCGTATACATATACCTACACTCTTCAGTCGTCAGTGTGTTAGAGTCGGTGGGGACAGTTGCAGATACAGCAGCTGCATCGTTGGACTTTACGTATCCAGAGGAAGACGCAATAAATCGTGTAATTCCACCTACGGAGCAACTCCCGAAGGTCGGCGAAAACTCATTTCGGCGTTCTCGACGCATTTGCACGAGGAATCCGGGGTTGAAGGGTCAGCTCGTCGACGATACGGAGCATCGAGCTGCATCAGCATCTAAGAGCCACGCCGTTCGTAGCTTGCTTTAAAACCAAGTAACGGATCATAATGGACGTCAACATGGGCGACATCGACGATTTCGTAAGTTCACGCTAACGAATTTGCTTGCATTAATAAATGAATTTGCTCAACCAATTTTATTAATTCGCTTCTTGATTTCATACAATTAGTGTTGCTTGGGAACGAATTAAATATCGAACATAACCCACAAGTCTCCGTTTATCTTTTATGACATTTTGTTTTTACTTTGTATAATCATGTGATTCAGGATTACTTGAGAAGTAATCTACAATATCTCTTAATTTCATTTCATTTCATTTTTTGAAAGGCAACCAATAACAGGCTTGAATTGAAAACAAGTAAATTTTTACCTTTTAATTCCTACTCATTTTATATTTTAATTAGGTACATTTGCTTTCAAAACTACATACTAGTTTATGTTTTTTTCAAGTACAATTTTGTAAAACTGTATAAATTTTGGTAAAATAACTTATACATCTTACTTTAGTAACTAGTTTAAGGTACTTTCAAAAACTCCTGGTGGATATTACTTAAAATGCTTAATTTTGTGTTTTGGTGATCTGGAAAATAGATAAGCAAGAGATACCAAAGGAAAAATATTATGAAAAAAACCGGTGTGAATATCCTGATTATTTTACCAAATTTAATATTTTTGTTTTTCAAGATAGTTTAAAGGATATTAAGGTTTTTTCATTACTGAAAATATTTTATGGCATAAAAAATAGAAGAGCGTTCATGTGAGCGTTCAGAGTTGAAACTAGTACATAACTCTGAGTGATGAACCGACAGGTTCATTAATTCTATTCATACAAAAATTTTAATTTGATCAAAAATTAAAGAAACTAAACTTGATCGTAATTTCCTGTAGGACTGGGGGAACGAGAAATTGCAGCGAGCTCAAAAGACAGTCAATGAAACACCATACGACTTGGAGGCATGGGCTTTATTAATCAGAGAAGCACAGAATCGACCCATAGCTGAAGTTAGGCCTGTTTTTGAAAAACTCATTGCTGTTTTTCCTTCAGCTGGTCGATACTGGAAAATTTATATTGAACAAGAGGTAATTAATTGTATTCACTTGGAATTTAATCTTTGTTACAAAATTGAATACATACTTAATAAATTAATTTTTTTCAGATGAAGAACCGCAGTTATGAAAAAGTAGAAAAGGTATGTTAGAGCTGAGGCTTTTGCAATTAATAATGTATAAGTGGTTTGACAAAATATTTCTTTCAATAAAATACAATTAATCATATACAAGAAAAAATGAAAAACCTTTGAAAATACATTTTGATATATTTATAGTTTGTAAAGAAAAAAAAGCTTTAAACTGTGATATTAGCATTATAATTTTTTTTTATTCAAAGTATTTAAAAAAAAACTACTTTTGATCAATGTATTTTTTAAGGAAAATTATTTCATTTTTTTTAGCATTTGATATATTCCTACCAAAGTAACTTATATAATATTTATATTTTTATAAACATAATAAAGTCTTGCCAGGAAAGTCATACAATAATATAGTTCATTTAATAGCATAGGTTAATACAAAGTGTGAAATGTGATAATGACACTTTACAAAGTCGTGAAGTGAATAAAATGCTTTTCTCTATGAAAAATTCGCGTATTTCATTGACAAATTTTATGCTGAAAGTGTTTAGGAGGTGGTTTTCTTTTTATTATATTATTTCATATTTGAGTTGATTTAGATGATAATTTTTTCTATAAATTTATCAATTTATAAAAAGAAGATAACCTTCTAAACATACCAGCCTTATATTCCCTCCTGAGTTTTCATTTACTGATTTTGAATTTCATTTCCATAAAAATTTTCCTTGATCTGAATTTTGAAAATGCAGTAATTTATAACGATCTTAAGATCATCAGATGCCTATCCTTTCCTTGAATTTCATACAATACATTTGAATTAAATAGTCTTATTAGAAATAACATTAAATGATTCATCACTACATCTCAAATAGTTTTTTAAACACTACTAATTCAGTAGGGCATGAAATAGATTATGCAACTATAAGAAAAAATGGGAAGAGTTCATTTTATGTCATTTCATAGTCTTCAATTTTCTTTAGTCTCTAAGAAATATGCTTCATATAAGTAAATGGGAATAAAAATGAATGAAAATAAAAACATTTTCAGAATGAAAAGTTTAAATTTTTTCAATCCCTAAAATAAAAAAATACATATTTTGATACTTTTAATCTGTAAATAAAAGAAATTCGAAAATCAATGGTTTATTTACTCATTTTTAAAAAATACTGGATATAATTTTGTTTAAACCTATTATATTTCAATGTGTGGTGTATTAGCATTAAGTATGTGTACACTTATTTATAAACTCTTGAAGATAATAAACTAATTATTGACTTCTTGTCAGAGAGTAAGTAGGTGGCAACACCCTTTTTCTTTCTCGATGGGAGAAAGTCAATGAATTTAACAATATTTTTCATTAATACTTAATTTTTGTTGGTTGACAGCTATTCCAGAGATGTCTTATAAAAATTTTAAATATAGAACTGTGGAAACTATATTTAACATACGTGAAAGAAACTAAAGCAAGTTTAACAACTTATAAGTAAGTAATAATTTTTTTAATATACAAATGTTTAAAGTGTAAAAGCAGTTAATTTATAATTTTTAAAAAATTTTGTAGAGAAAAAATGGCTCAAGCTTATGACTTTGCTTTAGATAAAATTGGAATGGATATACATTCATATAGTATTTGGAATGATTATATTGTATTTCTTAAAAGTGTCGAAGCAGTAGGTTCATATGCTGAAAATCAAAGAATCAGCGCAGTACGTAAAGTTTATCAACGTGGTGTTGTGAATCCGATGATTAATATGGAGCAATTATGGAAAGATTACATGGCATTTGAGCAAAATATCAATCCAATTATAGCAGAAAAAATGGCGGTTGAAAGATCAAGAGATTACATGAATGCGAGAAGAGTAGCTAAAGAGTTGGAAGCAGCCACTAGAGGACTTAACAGAAATGCTCCTAGTGTACCTCCTACTGGACACCCTGATGAAATTAAACAAGTAAATAGTTTTTATATGTTTTGAAAATGATATTTTAATATCAATCATTTATTAATTTTAGCTTGAATATTTATTTTATTAATGATTTTATTTCAGGTTGAACTATGGAAAAAATATATTTCTTGGGAGAAAGGCAATCCTTTGAGGACTGAAGATACTTCATTGGTTGCTCGTAGAGTCATGTTTGCAATAGATCAATGTTTACTATGTCTCGGTCATCATCCAGCCGTTTGGCATCAGGCTGCTCACTTTCTTGAACAAAGCTCTAAAATACTTACCGAAAAAGGTGACGTAAATGGCGCAAAAAATTTGAGTGATGAAGCTGCATCAATGTTCGAACGCGCAACAAATACCCTTTTGTCAAAAAATATGTTGTTATACTTTGCACATGCTGATTTTGAAGAGGGGCGAATAAAATATGAAAAAGTGCATCAAATTTACCAAAAATTTCTTGATATGCCTGACATCGATCCAACCTTGGTAAGTTGTAAATTTTTTTTTCTAACAAGGCATGGAAATTGATCCATAGTCAAGATCAACGTCTATTCAGAGAAACATTGATATTTTTTATTAAAAATATGTTATGACCATTTCATTTAAAATACTGAAGCTAATAATTTTACCTTACAATTCAATTTGAGTTGATAACTGGTGAATTATATTTTTCAATGGTTGTAGAAACATCAAACATCATGAAAAAAATCCTTTTTCTCATACATAAAATTCATTGAGATATTAAATTTATTTGACATTTTTTCAATCGAATTTGAACATGTTAAGGTGGATGAGTTATTGATAACACATCTTAATGTATTCATTGGTCCGCCTTACATCAACAAAATATGTTTGTTTATTTTTTACGTTATTATAAATCTTTAAAAAATTATTACTTTTTATTTCTTTCAAATTATTAAATTATATATCCTACTTTATAATACAATTTACACAATATAATTTCATTTCTATTCATTTATAATTTTTCTTGTTGTTTTCTTGATCAACAATTTTTTCAATTTTTTGATTCAGGCTTATGTTCAATATATGAAATTTGCTCGGCGTGCAGAAGGTATCAAATCAGCCAGAACTGTTTTCAAAAGGGCTCGTGAAGACTCTCGATGCAAACACCATATCTACGTTGCAGCAGCCTTAATGGAATATTACTGTACTAAAGATAAAAACATAGCCTTTCGCATTTTCGAATTAGGCTTGAAAAAATTTGGTGATAATCCTGACTACATTCTTTGCTACATTGATTATTTATCACATTTAAATGGTGAATATACGAAAAAATGTTTGTTGAAATTGATTTATTCTTCATAGTTAATTGGAATTTATATTTTTTGCAGAGGACAATAATACTAGAGTTTTGTTCGAGAGGGTTTTGTCTTCTGGAAGTTTGGAACCAGAAAAATCAGTGTAAGTTCTGAAATACATCTTTATTATGTTTTAATTGTCAATGAATAAATTTAACGTGATATTTTTTATTCTTCAGCGACATATGGAATCGATTCTTAGAGTTTGAATCAAACATAGGAGACTTAGCCAGTATAGTAAAAGTTGAAAAACGAAGGAGTGCAGTTTTAGATAAGGTAAAATGGAAAATATTACATATTTTTACTGTTAAGACAAAAAAATAATGTAACAATTCATATAATCTAAAATGTAATTACAGCTTAAAGAATTCGAGGGCAAAGAAACGGCTCAATTAGTCGATCGTTATAAATTCTTGGATTTGTATCCTTGCACGCCAATTGAATTAAAGTCAATTGGGTACATGGAAGTAATAACGACTAATAGAAATGGTGTTTGCCCAGCTCCAAGAGCAGCTGATTCCGAAGAAATAATTGCTGCTTTGCCTAGACCAGACATATCACAAATGATTCCGTTCAAACCAAAAGTAAACCCCCTTCCTGGTGAACACCCTGTTCCAGGTATGTAACTGTGAAAAACTTGTGAAAAAATATTAATGATATTTATATTCAACTTGAATTTTATTTTTAATTGATTGCTAAAATTTTATAGGTGGATCTTTTCCATTGCCACCATCAGCTGCTCAGCTATGTACTATACTACCACCACCGGACTGTTTTAGAGGTCCATTTGTAGCTGTAGATATGCTTATGGATGTATTCAGTCGTATACAGTTACCTGAACATGGTAAGTTAAGATAAGGTTTCCTAACTTTAGACAGCGTTATAAAACTCAATAAACTATTTGGCATTTACTATTGCTATATTGTTTGAAAGCTGTATTTTTAATAAAAATACTCACTTTGATTATTACAGCCCCTGCACCGGTTGCAGACAATGGTTGTGACACCAAATTGTTTGATTTGGCTAAATCTGTTCACTGGATTGTTGATGAAGTTGCAGAAGGAAATAGTCTCCCTAATAAACGAAAGCGACTTAGAATTAATGGTGAAGAAAGTGAAGAAGAGGATTTACCTCCACCTCCCGCAAATGATATATACAGATTGAGGCAACAAAAACGCGTTAAATAGACTATAAATATGATGTTGATACTCAATATCATTAACTTCTAAAAAGTAATGAATTTATGGCGAAGTTCAATTTTAATGACTTAGATATAAATTGTAAACTTTAAATTTTTAAAAATCGTGAAAGACAATTTTTTCAGTAAATATGAACTTAATTAATTTAATAATTATCGGAAAAAATCGTGAAAAATAAATTTATTGTAAATTTAGAGTACTTCAATATTTAAAAATGAGTGTAATTTTCAAATACGGTATTCAATTTTTTGAGCTACTTGATTGATTTGCATTCAATTGTTTAATGAATTAATCGAATTTAAGTTTATGCAGACATGTATATTCATGTCATTGATATATGAATAAGTTGAGTACTATGTACTCCATAATTTTTTTGGTCAAATTCTCTATCAACGACCTATAAGTAACAAAATTATTGTAAATACGGTAGATTTTCATATTTTTTAGTTCAGCGTGTAGATGTAATGTCAAATAATATTTGGTAACTTGATATAAGTACAAAATCATGAACTTGTTACGATTAAAAACCTACGATTTTCAGTCTGTTGTACACTTAAAATAAGTTAGAATTGGTTCATATGTCTGAAAATTCTTTGTTCTACACTTTTGTGCTCGTTAATCACTTATCTTTGTAAAATTCTTTTTGGTGCATTAAATGACTAGATATTTTAGTATATAAAAATGTTTATGTATTTTTCAAATGAAATTCAGAGTTGTAATTTTTTTAAACTTCTGTCAATTAAATCATAAAAATTTGTCATAGCCTATCTAATAACTTATTTAAAAAGATGCGCAGACTGAAGTTCGCCTATTGACGTGCAGAGCGAATTAGCTTAAAATATAATATAATCAAAATGTGAGCTATTTTTTTCTTTTTTTTCGATCAGTTAAGTGTAAATACTTTTATAGTCTTGTAATAGTTGGTTATAGTTTTAAACAAATATGTTTATACTTTCAAAATATAAAAAGCGAAAAATTAATACATCACGAAGGTTGCATAAGCTACGTAAATTAAATTACTGTAATGGTGAGATGTAAAAAAACTGATTAATTCATTAGTATAAGTCCGGTATAATGTTGCTAATTGTATGATTGATTGAATGTTCTTATTGTAAATAAAAACTTTTTGAAAATATAGATTCTAAAATGAATAATTTTTTATTATTCTATTAAACACGATTTGAAACCAATCCTAAGATTTAGCGTCAATTATTCAAAATCTTACAACTCTCTCATCGGTTGATTCATAAAAATTTAAAAATTCGAAGTTGATCGTCAACCGTTTTTTCGTACGCGCATCGTTCGGATCGGTGAGCGTTGTAATTCGCAGAAGCACAGCATTAGCATGTCAGTGCAGGAGAATACGCGTACGCGGCGCGGTGCGTTCGCGAAAAACACCGTTGTGCAGACTGCAGATTCAAAGCGAGCAACTGCAGCACACGGAGCAAGGAGAGAAATATCAAGAAGAGAGGGTGGCAAAGTCGAGCCGAGATGGCGCTCGAATCGGCTCGCCGTCTTTTAGCGCGCGCTTAGCCGGCAGACGGACTCTGTGCGCCGAGCCATCCGGTCGTTGCTGTACCGCCGCCGAGCTTTTGCCCACGCAGAGAGTTATTACGGATCCCCGTGCATTTAGCAGCTCTTCCAGCAGTTTATGTTTCAAAATTTACAACGCATGACAAGTGCTTGACGTTCGATTGATACACAACAGCCCTCGTGAAAATATCAAGATATATTCCCCTCTCCTCCGTTCTTTCCCCGGTGGTTGAAAAAAATAAATAAATAAATCAATCTGTGTGAATTTTGTTAGTGAATCAGCGACACAGTTTTTGCTACGTGAACGAGAATATATTATTGTTTTGTGGTTATTCGCTATAGAATACATCTGTAACATCGTGATATTCTTAGGAATATTGTGTGCGCGAGTGTGACAACTGCAAATTCACAAACGAAGAAAGAGACAAAAACAAATATCTCCCCGTTACGAAGATGTACCGAGCTACCGCCAAGATGATCAACGGTCTCCTGATGCTGGCGATCTTTGGATTCGCTTCGATTCAAGGTTTGTGTTTATTTCTCATGGAATTCGGCGAAAATCTTCCTTCGCTCGTATTATCAGGGCAGCAACTTGTTGGAGCACGATAATATTGTATCGTACGACGATTCAAGCGACAAAACGTTCACTTTGCAACGATCTCGATTTCAAATTTCGAACGCGTTCCATCGCATTCGTAACTGGTCGCGCGTCTCTCCTCTCGCTGCGGCATACCGAACGGGCTTCAACTATCTGCAGGATATATGTACGATGCACGAATCGAGAAATAATCCGTCATTGGTGCATTAGAATTTTCTCTCGCGAGGCTCGCTTTTCCCTCCTTCCACGATGAGACGCGAGGGCCGTTATACGCAGAAATATTAGTAATATAACGTCGAGAGCAACGCGCGGCAATGCGGCGAGCCCGCGGCGGTAGTATATGGAGGCAGTGGTGATGCGGAGCCACATTCCATCGGCCGAGAAAATTGCAACCTGCGGAAAGCCTCGCGAGCCACGGCGACGTACATAACGTTCAATACGTATAACATAAAATACACGCATGCTGCAGCCAGGGCTCGCTCGCTCGCTCTTGTAGCGCGTATAAATGGTGCCGAGCGCGAGCTGCGTTATAACTAATGGCCGTGTATCGGTATGCTTCCACGAAACGCGCCTATGCGTTATTTATATGTCATCGATGAATAGTAACGCTCGAGCCCGGCCCTTTTGGCATCTCCAATGGCCGTATTTGTTTACCTCTCTTGAAGTTGGTGTGCACGAGTGACTGCGTAACGACCAGTGCAAGATCGAGGATTTGACACCTTTCGCGATTCCGGAGATTTTTCATCGCCACCAAAAATTCGCAGATTATTTTTTGACTCTTCCTCGGTAGGCTTAAAATTTCGAAGGTCGAGTGTGACAAAGGGGTTGACGGTGGGAGAGCAAACGTTTTAACAAACGAGCATATAATACGCGAAGGCGGCAAAACAATGTCGAAACTTTCCGGTAATAAGCGTGTGAAATGCAGATTATATACACGGGTAATTTTTTGCTCGTCACTTTTTTCCGCTGCCGATGCTGTGCTGCTGCTTGTACAAAGTACTGGTACGGTTGTGTTTGTATGTGTTGAGGCATATGCGAGTTCGCGCGAGCGTCGGCATACCGTCGTCCACTTTCACGCAAACCCATACTCACGTACGAGCGAACGGTGCGCGCGGCTCACGCACACAATCCTTGATCACGGCTTTCTATAATATATACGAATATACGCTCTCGGCGCGTTGATCGAATAGCTATTTTCGCAGACGCTGCTGCCTCGTACAGTCAATTAAAAAAAATACAAAAAATCTCTCGGTTGAGGTAAAACGTGTCTATTTTACAAGTGTATACGAGCGTCTATATACGCGTGCAATATCTATACGGCGAACGGAGAAAAGAGAAACTGTATAAAGTAAATTCGCGGGACGGTATATACAGCGGCGGCACGCAAGCAGCAGGTTATATCGGCGAAAGAGAGTTTTAAAACATTAGCGCAGCGTTTAGAATAGAGCTACACCTGCCGCTCGCCCTGCCTCGCTCGCTATACATACAATATCCGCGCAGACAAGAATCGGGCTTTTGACTTTTCTGGGCTCGTGTAGTATTATATATTGGCATGATTCGCCTCGTAGGCCGGGCATGATCCGTCGAAGCGTGTAATATATCACGAGTGCGTCGGTTTTCTCACACACGGCTCCGCGTCTTTATTAATTTCAACACCTCAGCAGTTTATATTCTGCCGATTGACGCGGCTGCTCCCGCTATATAGCCATACATACGACGATGGTGTATATCGAGGCGGTAATGACTACACCACTATTTTCCTTCGTATATAATACCTACTTCCAATTTCAATCTCGTGAAAGTCCGATCGTTCTGGAATCGGAAGTCGAATCAGTGTACGACTTGCTGAAATAACTACACTGCGAATTGCTTCTATTTTTTGTAAAAATGTGTAATGAATACGAGCCGTTACAATTTTTTTGTCTCCGTGTTCGCTCGTGCAATTTGTGAGACGCGTGATAGAGCCGCCGATCGCCCCCGATCACGCATGACTACAGCCTTGCCATGGCTTATTAATGTATACTTCAAATTTTTATCGAATCGAAGTACTCCATGATATATTCGATTCATAATGTAGACAGTTGGGTTTGATGTTTGCACTCTTTCTTTGTAACGTTGAGTAATAAACTAACACTCACTCAGTTTCTATATTGATGATTACTCTTAGGCCCATGCATGATAATTTTACCTTATCAGTGTTTTCTCTATTAATTATTCATCGCTGTTGCAACACATGTATTTTTAACATTGATTGATATTTATTTAAATCTATAATTGTCAAAAAATAAACATGATTCTTGAATCCCCCTGGTGGAGTTATTTTAATTAGCATGAAGAGAGCGTGCACATTCGCATGCGAAAAATTCAGGATTTTCCTGTGCACTGGATATGTAATATTTATTTATATACAATATTATCCAAGTCAAACATTAATGAGTGAATTTTAATAAGCTTACCGCGAGACTTGCAAACAGTGCAATTAATAATATGCACGTATATAATATAGCGGCGAAAGGAAAGATACACGCCGTAAATTCCGATACACAAGGTCGATTCGATACTATTAAGTTGGCCTGCGAGCCGTGGCACTATACTCAGAGAGCAAAAATGAGAGCTAAACTTCGCGGGCGCGCGCACTACTGCAAAAGGTTTGATGTAATAGCAGACGAACGAGTTGAATTATTTTTTCGCTCGTGCATGGCTTTTTTTCTTTCACTCGTTTTATTTTTATTTACATTCGATGACGGTGATGCAGTGTTGCTCCGTGCGAAAGAGATGAAGACTACATAAATAATTCAATCTCCCGCACTTTTGTGTGATGCATATAAATCCCATTAACCTTTCTCTCTCTCTCTCTTTCTCTTTCCCTCTCTCTATCATTCACTCTTTCTCGGTCTTGACGTTACATTCGCAACTCCAACGATGTACGTCCTCTCTTTATTTATTAATTTCCTTCATGCTTTCTCTCGTGTAATACACCTAATACATCCTCTGCGTGTAATTTTTTGCCTTTCAAACTATATACTCGCGAGTCGGTTGACTCTTGCTTGTATTTTACAGTAATACCTTTTTTAAAACCTAACGCCGTTTCGGAGCTTATCCTATACAACATCGGATTGCACAAAACAAGTTTTTATGCAATTTTCGCATATTACGTGCTCTATGCGCGCGAACTCTCTGCATAGGAGTTAGAGGTTTGAATGCATGAATGTGAAAATGTACTCGCGCAGGTAAAACTTTCAAAAGTAGGAAAAAAGAGTTCATTGAAGTCTCGTCGTCGCATTGTCGTAACAAACAGCTGAAGATTATAGCTAGCTGTGAAAAGTGTAATTGCTCTCCTCGCGAGTTTGTATGTATATATAGCGACAATGTCGTTTGACAGAGAAAGTAGTACTATCGGTGCTACTATAGAATCAACACTTTCTGCAAAGAATGCGTAAAACTAGTCTGCAGACTGACTTTGCACAGTAGTATAGTTTTGCCTCTCCCGTTGCAGCTGCAGTGCAGTATAAGCAGCAGAGAGGCCTGCAGTCCACGCCGCGGTGGCTTAATCATCTCAACTGTATTTTCCTATACACACGCTATGCTGTGCAATCTTCTTTCTCACTCTTTTTCTCTTTCTCTCTCTCAATTCTATGAAGCTCGAGAATAAAATGTTCACTCTCTGGAATGCTCACAAACTACTTTTTGCCAATCTCAACTTATTGTGTCAGTAATTACACTCTTCTTCTTTTTTTCCTCGATGTAGATACTTCGGGCTGTTGAATTTTGTATTTTTGAAATTTCTTAACAATAACAAACTCTTGATATGATACGTCCACGCAAATTTTTTAATAATGATAGTAAAATCCGAACGATGATGTAAATGATGAAAAATGTTGAAACTTGAAAAAATTCACATTAAAGTTAAATCATCGTATTCATCATTTTGTATAAATAAATAAAAGAAAAAAAAGTTTCAATATCAGGTCTTTGAAAACACGTGCGTAGTTTGCGTACGTATCGTAATTTTTGCACGCGCGCACAAACGAGACAGGCTCGCGCGGTGCTGCACGCCCGCGCTCGCTCAAAACTTTTCTTTCTCTTTCTCTCGAACATCGAAAATACATGATTGCTTCAACGGTCGAAAAGAAAGAAAGAGAGAGAGAGAAAGAGAGAGGGCCTTTGTATGTGTATGAGTGCAGAAAACCAAATATTGAACCGGTCTAACCGGTTATTTCGTTAGCGTCATATCAAGTGGCCGATCGCGATTCCATCCTGGCCGCGCGAGGTCTAACACATATAGCCATGGTAGGTGTGCGCGTCCTCTCTCTCTCTCTCTCTTTCTCTCTTTTTGCCATTATTTTTTTTCCCTCCTGCTTCTTTTATTCCTCGGACGAGAGGAAGAGTACAATGTATGTTGCTGTGCAAGCGATGTGGATCCACGTGGACATATACGGTGATTGCGCGCCACGACTCGTTCCATGTTGGGCGCTGGCGGCGGCTCCGGTTGTTGCGTGGGCTCAGGAAACCCTTACGCGATAATACTACTCGTCCTTGATGCTCGTTCCGGAGAGACCGTGTGTGCACCGTGCACTGCTCGCGTATACGCACGCACGCACGCGTTTCGTTACTATACTATATCTGCTACTACGAACATCCTGGTAGACCAGTATGCGCACGATACAATACTTGTTCCTGCCTACCCATGTATTTTCATCATTTTCTTCTATTTTGGAAACTGTAAGACAAACACGAACGTAAGGCTCCCAAGAAAATACTCGATGCTCTGCTCATTAGTTTGTATATTTTCATCGATGAAACAAGCTGCACGAAATGAAACAAAGAAAACATGTTGTCGAGGCATCTCTTTTACATGATAATTGTTTTTCTCAACTGCGCATCGTCTCAGGTCATCGACCATTAATTCTGTGGGCCAGGTGTCTGCT